GGTGTTTGGGAAATATTTGCATTCACCTCGCTAGCCTTTTGTACATCCACATTATGCAAATACGATCATAAATATTCAAACAGCAGTTCAATTTGACTCATTTCACTTGTTCCGCAGCCAGGATTGTCAAAACTGAGAGGCCCAGTCGTATTCGACACGTAGACCTACTGGCTGCATTCACAGCGGCAGATTGTTGCCCACTCCCGCTCCTCTTACCCCCCCCTCCTCCCACCCTGAAGAGATTTGGAATCGGAGGGTGCTTACTTGACACCCCATCAGTCGGCGGCTCACTAACAAGTAGGCCATAAACCTTTTCCTCTGTTTGATTACACTAAGTGCACAGAGGCCAGATGCTACCCAGCCCAGTCATCTGTCGGCTTGCCAGCAGAGTCCCTGCAGACTGGCTGGGCCACGAGGAGGGGGGGTAAGAGGGGAGGATGGGGGCACTAGGGGTCCCTTCCCTTCAGGAATAAAGCCATTGTTCTTCATTACAGCTGGAGAGGCCGCTGAGGGGGCACGGAGGAGCGGGGCGGGGGAGGGGCAGGGGGGGGACAAGTCCATTTCCACACCTGTTTTCCACAACCAGGGTTCCTACCAGCTCGACTCTGAGCCAAAGCCGAGCTGCTGGCGAGCAGAGTCAGATGCAGGCGGAGTCCGTGTATCGCGCCGCTTTGCAGCGCTAACAAAGGTGGCAATTTGGATGTTAGAAGTCTGAGCGAGGAAAAACTTCAGGAACAATCCTCTACGTGGTATTCACAGATAAACAAATAACAAATCGGATATTTGTGGTGATGTGGGTTTTGGGACAACAAACCTCCCCGGCTGGGTGAGGTTTTTGCAGCATGGGGGTTCTTCACAATCAGTGAAAAGAGAAGAGAAAACAGCAGCCAGATAAAGACGTCTCATTTAAAGCAGAGAATATCTCATGAAATGTGTCCACAATAGTGCAAATGCAGTACCTGAACTGTGATTTAGATACTAATAAAATAGGTTTTTCAATAACTGGCATCAACAAAGTAGGGTTTTTATGTGCAATGAGATACTTAAAACGATAACTAAAATGTAAAACAATGGTGAAGGGTTAAAATATCAAGACTCAACTTTTTATTTTGTAAGACTTCCTCGAACTTAGTTATTTCAGAAATAAAAGAAAGTGACAGTATGACTGAATCCACGGTGTTCATCAGTCATCTTCTGAGTGACGCGATGACTGTGAGGAGCACAGCGGGATAGAAGGGCGCCACGTGAGATCTTAAATGAGCTGTACAAAATCGCTTCGGAGCTCCATTGCGTTGTTTCTGTTTTGTTTTTTTTAAATCAAATGATATTTCTCTCCTTGAGTGATTCGACGGCCACAATATAAATACCGATGAGGAGGTAGCCTCGGCTGACGAGAAAACATCCGGCGGGTTAAAGACAAAGATTCAAGAGCTTTGGTGCAAGCGTGACTTTCAATTACACTGGAAACCAGAGTTCAGTTGGGTGGCGTTTGAGGTTTTGGGCAAAACTCCAACTATGTATTGAGAGGCCTGGTGTATTTTAATGACATGATAAAATATTTAATATGACAATTATATTTAGTCTGATAACCATTAATGTGTTCAACAAATTGTATTGAAGAAAAAGAAAGAAAAATTGACTTAAATTATTTCTGACCCTTGTTAATTAATCAGTGAGTGAAGCAGTAAAGATGGCAGTTCATGCACATTCCAGCAATCAGCAGTAATGAAGCAGTAAATAGAAGAGTAAACCGCAAACTCGAGCCACCAGCATGGGAAAAATAAATAATGCCATCAGTGAAGTATTCAGCTTTTCAATAAAATAAAAAGTTCGGCAAATCAAAAAAGGTGGGACAACAACGCCAGAAGCAAATCAACACATGTACTGAAAAGTAATAGGTTCCAAAGGGATCTCATTTTCTCCTTTCCACTGTCTGAACAGAGCATGATTTTTTGGACAAGCTGAAAAGAAGCACGTATAAATTTCAGAAAGTAAACAGTTTGCGACGACACGAAACGTAGAGAAGAAACAAAACCAGCACGCAACAAACATGCGAGAGCCGCGAAAACCGACAAAAGAACCACGGTCTCACGCAAGTCATCCGTGCTCCCACCTGCACGGTCACACCGTTGCATAACTTCACAAAAATGAGAGCCCATATGCTCCTCACCAGAGCGGAACGATTGCCCAACCAAGTGTACTCGTCTCGGCAAGATCTCCAATGCCTCTAAAAGGTACCGCGCTCCTGGCGTTCCTCAGGGTATGATGTGCGTAACCTTTGGACTTGCTAAATGCTGTATGCAGAACGATGAAGATGAAGATGACTAAATGCCGTTATGACATTATGACATACCACCCACCGTGCGCAAATTGCAAGAGGACGCCTGCGTGGTTCTTCTAGACAGTGTGATAAGTATTCTTGTCCATTTTTTATGAACGTAAATAGATTTTTTGCACATTGAGCTAAACTGAAAGGGGCTTTCACCGCTTTAAAAAAACGTGAATAAAATGTACAAATCTATGAATCAAGAGTCATTAACTCTAAATACAAAATGTCGCAACCGATCGTAAGTGGAAGTATTTGTTGGAGACAAACTAATGATTGAAATCCCTTCATTACTTAATTACGACACAATATCTATAATCATACAATAAATACATTTAACTCTGCGAAATGAGATTCTAGATATCTTTGTTGTGAACCGGTCACCTCAGCGTCTAGTTAGAGCCCTAAACCTTTGACAAAAGGAAACCACTAAATTTAACTACAACTTATTAAATAGTGTTATCCGACAATAGGATTGTGTGAAATATTATGAGCAAAATTGGAGACCAAATGTATACAGAGACTTCCTGTTAGAGTAAGTTAGAAATGGCCTATATTCTGCACTTGTGGACCAATGAATGACAAACTCCTATAAAATGTTGCACTTATCAGCTTATTTTCCAAACGGATGAAGGACGTCTCCGGTGGGACTCTCCGTGTCCACTCACTCATCCCAAACAACAGCTATGGTGGCGGAACGCAGTGAGCTGTGAATGCTTTCTCATAAATCCATTTCATTTGGAGCACTCGTGTGATTTGATGGCCGTATACGGGGTGAGCGCCGGTGCCAAAATGGAACTTACAGTTGGGACGAAATTAACTAATGCAGCCTTCTCTTCCGCTGCACGCCAATTCTTACCCTCAAAAGCACCGACCTCCATTTGTTTTTACGCGGTGACAAAAAAAAAAAAAAAAAAAAAGAAAGAAGAAAAACACATCCAGCCAATGCTGAGCACGATGAGCCTTCAGCATGTGCTGGAGGTAAATAATTGATATGCTTTGTGCGAGCCTGAGCTTTGCTTGAAATCAGTGGAGCCTATTTTCTCCGTGAAGGTACAGTAGTGTGCACACAGCACCGTCCAAAGGTGCCTTGTGGATCTGTCAAAACTGTCTCCTCGAGATAAAAAATAATAATAATACAGCATATTAGCATTGTAATGTAATGGATTAAAGCCCCTAGTATAACCCACGATGGGACTAAGGGCGACATCTGCCTCCCATTGTCATCAGAGGCTCCAGCTCAGCATAAAAAAAGGTTCTTACGAAGAGCAACTTTATGTCTGATGTCATCCACGACAGAAGGGACTTGACGTCATATTAACAGCACGTGCGAAACAACGGCACGAAACCCCCCCCCCGCAAAGCCGCAGCGTGACCGCGTAGATGGATAATCGCGTCACCTCTTTGAACCGGGGGGAGGCAGGGGGGAGGCGGGGGGGACGTTGCCCTGACTACTAGCGTTTCACTACATCTTCATGTCAATGCGCAAAGACGAGCGTGATGCCGCACAGCGGCTGTGCGAACACGGTATAAAAACACACGGCACCGCACTTTGGTTTCGTCGGTCCGGGCCGAGCCGAGCCGAGCGGAGCGGAGCGCGCGTGCATGTTCCGCAGCGCGCCAACTCGCGGTCGAACGTCGCTCACGACGTCACAAGTCGTTTAGAAAAAGATTCGCAGCGTGAAAAAATTCACGTCGCACGTCCTTTTTTGCCCCCCAGCGAAGCTTCTGACTCAGTTCTTGGCACGAACGCTTTAGTGTTTCCATGCGTGATGCTACTGCGCATCCGGTCCCCATCTCGCGCGCACGCGCGCACACACGTGAATCCAATTGGGAACTCGGGGAAAATCTTCTCTTGTTTACATGCGCGAGCAATGCATGTGACACGGGGGGCATTTAAGAGACGGTCCGGACCCCTCGGGAGGTTCTTTATACCGGCACGCGTTTAAAGCACCGAGCAGTTATTATATTATTGCAACAACTACTTTTTTTTGAACAGCTTCACGCGACACAACGTTACCAATCGGGATGACCGATAGAGAACACATGAGATTAAAAGCGTCATATCGGGGGGAGCCGCCTTGACGCCGATTTGACCCGAACGGCCCGGTGTGACGGACGGGTTCGGAGTCCCGCTGTTATTTTCTAAGAATCCCTCACGTTCAGTTAAACGGGCAGAGTTTTGGCTGGAGTTTCGCTCCAGCGTGTCCTCGTCCCACTTCCACCGTGATTTACAACCAAGCACCGGGACAAAAATGCCACTAAAAAGTGAACCAGGGGAACAAAAAAAGGAAAAAAAACACCCCAACAATGTCTCCGCGGCTGTTTTAGGGATTTCTGGCTCGCTTGTTTTCCGCACCAAGAAGCGGCGGGTTTCTAACGGTGCGCCGACCCGAGTGATGCGTTTCCTGAACAGCGCGTCGGTAACGCGCGGAAAGGAAAAGAAAAGAACACCTGCTCGTTGTTTATTTCAACTTTACGGAACAGTTCGCGCGTTTCTCACTTGCCTCCAACAACAACAGCGGGCGTCGCGAAACGCAAATCAACACACACACACGCACAAAAAAACGGAGAGAACCGCGGATACAACGACACTCCTCCGGATCAGCATCCGCGCGGAATCTGCGAGCAAAGTGTGCCCGGCGCTCGGACAACGGGCGCTTAAAAGTCCTACCTTTGAGAAGAGCCGCGTGGAACACGTACAGAGAGAGAATAGTCGCGAGAGAACCGCTGCCTGCGATCGCCATGTTGGACACCTGCTTCCGAATGGCAGCGCGAGGCGGCTTCACCTAAAGCTGCGACGGGACTCCGCTAATGAGATGCGCGCGCCAGGGAGGGAGGGTGCTGTTTACCGCCTTCCTGCCATCAATTCGCGGATGGATGGTGTAAGGCAGAAAGGTGTCTTGTGTTCCAACATTTGTTTTAAATTTAATCAGAAATGGAGAACAAACAAAAAAAAACGTTAAGGTTGTTTTGTTGTGCGTGAATAGGGAGGCGTTTGTGTCTCTCTTTTGTCATTGTGGTGTCACTGGGAGCTTCACGCGATGGTTTTATGATCCCTTGACGCCTGCACACAACGTTGTCTCTTTTTTTCCCCTCCTTTTTTTGGTGTGTTTTGGAAAGAAAACGCATCGATCCCCCCCACAACATTTCTCACTTGCTTCTTCGTCTTCTTGAAGCCAGGAGGGCCCCCACCAACAACCCTTCCTGGGGGGATTCTTCACCGAGCAGTGAGCTTCTGGTACCTGGGGAGCCGGCCTACCTGTTGAGAGCTTGAGAGGAAATCAATGTCAGGGCTACTTATTGCTTGGAAACCGGTGCATTGAAATAAGGATTCAACGCCTGCCATCTCTTTTGCTTATTCTGTGTATCCCGAAAAATGTTGTTAGACATACCCAGAGCAGAAAACAGCTCAAAGAAAGTTAGAGGTTCTCAAAGATTGATCAAACAGGTCAATCATTTCCCTTGGTGGGGGAAAAAATGTTTTTTGTAACCACTTTTTTTTCAAGTATGTTGCTTTTATTTCTCGCAGGAAAAAATGCATCACAAACTAATACTTGTTGTGTCTTTAGTTTGCGGCGGAAGATGTGAAGACGATGTGTCTCGGATCCTGATGTCATCGGAAAGCTCATTCCACCACTTCGGAGCCAGGACAGCAAAGAGTCACGATCTTGTTGAGTGTTTTTCTCTCAGTTATAACAGTTTCCAAGCTCTGTTGAGAGGATTTTGCCGTCCTCTCACTTAGCATGAGAAAAATGTCACTGGGTTAAATGTATACCGGCCACCTGTATTTATTACACACACAGACCCTTTCAGGCAGATTGCCTCTGGATTCAGACCTCTACGAAGTCAGTGGGCCAACAACAAATAATGCAACCACCTATCAAAATGTAGTTGACCAAGTACGGCATCTAAGGGTAAGCAAACCAGTTGTAATGCATTAGACGCCTCGTTATTTAACTGCTTACACCACTGATTGTCTTTTGATTGGACATATCAGGGTGGCTTAGATCCAACAGTTTGCCGAAATTGACCAAACTCTAATTCATCGTGTCACACTATTTGTATCACCTTATTTATAAATTCAGAGTTGTTGCTGTAACCGCCCTGGTTGTGAAAGGTCAAAGCTGTTCTAAAGGCACCGTTTTGTCAGATGAGGCACGTAAACACAACGGAACATGAGGTCATTGGTATCGTTCTTAAAAATATTTTTGGACACACAAAAAAAGATGTGTTGCATTGATGTGGTGGGCATAAAGTCCTTCCTCCTCAAAGGGCTCAGACAGAACAACGATCTACAAAGGAAGAGGGAGAACAAGGAAAAAACTAGCCGGGTATAATAATCTGTTATTGTTAAGCAGTGTTATTTCTTTTCATTTAATCATCCCTGGGGAGCGTGCAGGTTCTTTGGTCGGTGCCTGAATGGAGTCTTTGAACAGTCAGATTGCGTGTCCCCTGCCGCCCTGGAGATGCAGGGGAAAATAATCCTCCTACGGTGGGAGTTGTGGCCTCCCCGAGGACAATCGAAGGCGAGCCCACGAGTCCAGTGAGAAGACACCATTAAGGTCGGGGTAGGCAGTTCCTCCCACAGCCCCCAGGAGGCGGTACCAGTGAGCGACCGCAAACCACCGCAAACCACGCAAGGGCACTGCAGACTGAAACACATGCAGCCGCGGCCATTTGGTTACGCCTGTGTTGTTCCCGCTGCACGAGGTGTCTAAATGGTGGGTGAGACTGAAATAGAAGCGCGAATGATGCCTCATCTACTCTTCAAATACAATGGGCCTGGGGTCAGTAACGTAATACAGTGGAAACAAAACTAACATATTATATTTCACAACTCTTTGAATTTAATCAGAATGGGAGAACATAAAAAAAACCAACCTGGGGACGCTTTTAACATTGTGTTGTTCTGCAGAAACTTCACGCGCTGTTTTGTAACAGTGAGACAGATGATTGAATAATATATGAATATGAGGGATAAAGTATGTTCTATTTTTCTAAATCATCGAAATAATTATATTGAGAGCAGATCAACTCTATTACGCAAGCACCTGCTCATTTGCAACGGTTTTGGGGCAGCTCTTCTGACAAGCTTAACCTGATTTTAAAGGGAGCGTATGTGAGCATTTCATTCCACAGTTCAGAATGTTCTCCACTGATTGGTCCCGGAAGGAATTAAAAGATCTAAACAAGCGGACAAACTGTAGGACTGGCCCGAATGGAAAGTTGTGATTCACGAGGGAATGAGCCCTAATGATTATTTGTTAGTAATCCTAACACATGCTTGTTTATGTTGTCTACGTGGCCCGCTGTCAGTAACGGCATCTACATGTAATCCACGGTGTAGTGCATCACCTCTGCTTCTTGGGGATTTTTTCGTCTCCTGGAGACAAAGATTTATTTAGAAAATCTCCCTTGTCAATTAACTAGCCTTATGCCATGTGCATCGTCTTGGCGCAAACCGAATTACAAGCATTGTGAACATGGAGGAAAGAAATTAAACGACAGTGATCGATAACTCGGAAAGATGCTAAATCGGTTTCCGTACAAGTCACCACTGCTTTTGGTCAGTAACCGCTAACGTTCTTTAAAGTACAAATTTGCTCCCCTCTTGAATCCGAGATAAGGCAAGTGGTGAATTGGGATTTTTTACATGATGAAAAGATGCACTTGAGGATTAAAAGGCTTTGCAACGTCTACTTGTTATACAGCATTTACGTTCCCCTGAGGTCATTAAACATATACACGCTAAATCTCACCACTGCGGTGGTTGGACTGAGCAGCGCCATGACAACTGATTTCTCATCTATTGACCCGCCGGCTCTCAGGTCAAGTTAAAGAAGAATCGCAGACTCCACCCGAAATGTCTGCTAGATGAGACAGTGGAGGCAGCCACAGTGAAACAAAGGCCCCCGAACTAGTGGCTGTTTAACCACAGTCAACGCGCCCAGAAGTAGGTGCATAACCTCAATCTACTACCTGGTCGAAATGCCGCCTCAGTGTCAGTGTCCTACGGAGAGGAAAGACAGCCACACACACACAGACACCGAGGCAGGCGAACCAAACGCACCCTTGTACAGATAGCAGGGTGGCGGTCATATGACAATGACAATAGATGGCAATGTGTTTCTATTTGGAGGTTTCCTTTATCTTGGTGTTGGGGTTATTCGAGAGGATCAACACACTCTGCTGCTTGTACACTTTTTGAGTTTAAGGGCAAGTATAAGATTACCACCACATCTGTGAACACAGGCAAACAGGGACTACGTGATGGATGACAAGAGATGATCAATATTGTCGTGTTAGCCAGTGATGATTTCGCAAGCACTCTGGCGCGTGCTGGATTCACGACTTTTTTAAAAATGTGTCAGCGGCATTAAATATATGAAGATCATGCACTAACAATGATTGCACCACTTGCACATGCAAATCTGTTAATCACCGGGAAGGTAAGAACAGTCGAGGTTGGAGGTGGAGAACGAGAGTCCGTGAAAGAGGGATGAGAGGCGTCCAGGGGTGGGAACAAATAGGGGGGGTCGAGCACAAGAGGAGGAATGGAAGTTCCACCGGGGATGAAGGGTGGCCACGGGCCAGGAGTCGTCGCGGCAACGAACCCAAGGTTTGAGGCTCAGGTTTGGGGGTCAACTTCTCGATGAGGTTTCGCAGGTTCATCATGCCCCGTGTTGCTCCCGTAATGAAAGGGAAGGAGGTGAGAAGGCGGATGAGGGGGTCCGTGTCTCACTGGAGTGTTCAGCCATCAGACAGGAACAGTTCACAGAGGAGCTGTCTACGTTAAACACCAGCCGAAATGAAAACTCTTTCCAAGGGAACCACATTCTTGTTGTCACCTCCGCGACATCACTGCGTGGCAGCCATCCCGTCAAATGAGGTTAGCCGATCCGTGCATACGTAGGCCCGGGAAGTGGAATTAAAAATGAAAATCGGCATCGATCTCGCACAGACATACAGCACGGTGGCTCATATAGTTAAACACTAATTGGCAATGGAGATAGCCAGCTGGTTAAAGTCCTGCAGCGGCTCCAGCCACTGCACTGGGAATCATTCCCAGTGAAACAGAATATATGAGTGGTGTAAATTGAGGTTTCTCAAGCATCCTTCCTTGATTGGACCACAGAAACTGGCCGGGCTTCGAATGTTTCACAAGTGCAATACAGATTGTATTTTAACGTAACAATATGAAGAAATAGATTTTTCATTCTTTAATCGTTGCGTAACCGGGAGGTGACGTCAAATAGATAAAAAGACTAATAGTTTGCACTGGTTGCCGTAACCACAATCCTCCTTCAAATATGAAACCACAATGCAATGCAGGCGTAGCTGTGCACAGATGGTAATCGCCCATGACCTGAAAAGAAAGATGTTTACATGCCACAATAAAGCAATTCATACCAGAGAAACCCCGTGCACACAACAGCCTCTTGCAGCTGTCACGTTGTGAATGGTAGTAGTTAAAGTCTGAGGCTGCATTGTCATTGTGATCAACAAAGGCATCTCCACCGACCCAGCTCCATTTGGGATCAGCGCTGAAAAAATCTATTTTTTTCATATTTTCTTCTTCAGGCGACATATGTGGGCTGTTCGGATAATATGGCTTCACCTATTTTTGAAATGCAGACGTTGAGCTGAACTGGTTTGTGGATGCAAAGTGAGACAAATAAGCCAGCCAGTGTTTCATGCGATAGCAAGAAGATAATTGTGCACATTTATGTAAATGAAACAGTGCGGCAAAACTAATTGTGACATTGGCTTTGGCACAAACGTGAGACAGACTGGAGGGGAGGGAGAGGGATACGGGGAAGACTAACAG